GGAAAAATTATTTTAAAAAAGTTGTAATATATTTCTGAGATGGTAAAAGTGACTGTGTCACTTCAAATTCTGAATAAGTTAGATATATACTTTTTGTGATTTTAAAAATAGTTTTAATATTTTGAATATCAATGTTTTACTAATTTTATTTGGTTATTATGTTAAAGTTTGGAGAACTTTAAAACAATGAGCATTTGACAATATTTTATTAAAATATATTGGGTTGCTTCAGTTAGCTAGATGTTATGAACCACAATAATATATATATATATATATATATATATATATATATATATATATATGCCTAAGTGATTGTCGTAACCAAAACAACCAAACGGACGACTAAATAGGCTGTGTAGGGTGACCAGATCAGTAGGGGAGTTAGTGAGGGCCACCAAATGACTGAACAGCAGGCTGCATGGGACGACCAGGCCGGCAGGGGGGACAGTTGGAGGCAACCAGGCTGGTGAGGTGCGGGGGTGGGGGGGGGGGTTGGCAATGAGGGCAACCAGGCCAGTGGAGAAAAAGTTAGTAGTGACCAGGTCAGCGAGGGGCGGTGTAGTTTGGGGTAACCAGACAGGTAGGGGGTGGTTGGGGGTGACTGGGCTAGTGGGGAGGGGGGTGGAGGCAGTTAGGGGCAATCATGCAGGAATACAGGTGAGCAGTTAGAAGCCAGTGTTCCCAGATGTGAGAGGGATGTCAGACTACCAGTTTAGGACCAATCCCCAGTTCTAAACTGGCAGTTGGACATTCCCTGAGGGGTCCTGGATTGGAGAGAGTGCAGGCTTGGGTGAGGGAACACCCCCTCCATGCACAGATTTTGTGCACTGGTCCTCTAGTCAAATTTTATAATAGAATGAAGCATGTCTCAAAAGAAAATGCTAACAGTCTAAAATCTCTGCATTCCTCAGGCTATGTTACAAACAATTGATGTGAATGTTAAAAACATCCCTTTCCTTTGCTTGAGTAAATATGATATGACTGGAAGGAAGTGTCCATTGAATGGTTATGTATTGAACTTCTATAAAAACCGTTCCCTGTCAGCTCTCACTTTGGATAACTGGTATGACTTTTTCTATCTTAACATTTTTATAGATATATGTGTGTTTGTGTAATTAATGTTTGTTGTGCTGTGGCATTGTAACTTATGAGGATAATTTAAGATGCAATGACTTAGGAAGAGTCATGAAGATGCATTTTACTTAGAACTATTTTAAAATGCTACTTATTATTGAGGGGAAGTTCACATAACATAAAAATAACCATGTGAAAGTGAACTATTTGGCAATATTTGATTCATTCGTAATGTTGTACATCAACCACCTCTATCTAACTGCTAAACATTTTCCTTAAACCAAGGGTATATAGTTGGATGATGTTTATTTTTTTTTTATCCATTCAACCAGTCTTTTTCTTTTCATCGAATACTTAATTCATTTACATTTAAAATAATTACTGATGAGGAAGAACTTACTTTTTCATTTTTGTATTTGTTTCTTATGTCTTATACCTCTTTTGTTTCTATGGGATAGTTTCTGAAAATTTTATCAGTCAATGGGCACATTTTCTTTTTTCTGCTCATGCTTCAAAATTGGTTTTGAGAATCTTTGAGAACTGAACATTTTGAGTTTTAAAATGTATTTCTGAAATTTTCTCCATTTTCAGCTTTTGTTGTTTTTGTTTCTAGCTGCTCACAATAGCTATTGTTTTGCTTACTGGCTTTTCTAAATAAATCTTTTTAAGTCTGTATTCTTCATTGTGTGTGATCTCTGAAATCCTTATTTCTTTAGTTTGTATTCAGCTAGTGTTTTGATGAAGATGTTTTTGAATACAAAAAAAGGGGGAGAAGAGGAAGGAGGAAGAGGTGAAGGAGGGGGAAAATGAAGAAAAAATTTCTCCCAATTTTTGCAGTTTGTCTCTATGTTACCTATCAACACTTAGTTTATCGACAGTTCTGCCTCACCCTTCACTTCCTGCTTGCATTAATCTTAGCGACCAGAGGGTCTTCTCGGGTCTTTCCTGAGCATGCGTTCTGCCCTAGGTATGAGAATGGTTTTCTAAATGTTTAATATACTGGTTACTCTCCCAGCTTTTTCTCACAGGCTTTCTTTACTCAGTTGTGTTGACCCAACTGTAATCTTTCGCCCTAGGCAGCTGCAGTGGTTCCTCTGACTTTCCATTTGTCCTTCCTGAGTTTCAAGCTAGGCAGAACAAAGACAAGCGCCTCACCTCAGTCCTTTACACAGTTCCCTGACAGGCTAGAACAGACAGACGAACACATAAGGTAGCTCTGCTCCCCCTGCAATCAGGGGTCAGGGCCACATGGGAACACAGACTGCCCCTGTGCTGGAAGGATGGTGGGGAGAGGGCAAACAAAGATGACACAGAGCTTTCCCCTGCCTATTCTAACTCTTTTCATTATTTCAGTTAAACCTTTGACTATTTTCCAGAGTTGATTCTGACAGTTAATACCTATACATACGTATATACATATATAATGGGTCCTTGGAGGTGCCTACGCTGCATTCTCAGTGACATCTCTTATATTTGGCACTGTTTTGAACATGTGTGAAATACTTAAATTCGGTAATAATAATATGCTGATATATAAAAACTGACAAGTCATAATTTTTTTTTAATAAAAATGATTAGCCTCTACTATAGTTTAGTCAATTTAGGAGTAAAATGAGCATAGTGAAATACTGGGTTCAAAGGACACAAACATTTCTCTGCAGTCTTTCCATATCTGTTTCTATTTGTTGTGGAAAGGTCAGAATTGGGTAGTCATTTATTATTTTCTTTATAGTAGATTGATAAGACACCAAAAAAACAAAAAACAAAAAAAAACTCCACAAAAACCCCAAAACAATGTATTCTTTAAATGTTATTTTGTCTTTTTTCTCCCCCTAGGTTAAATATGGGAGATGCTTTTAATCTTATCAGGGATTTTGCACTTACTGTTCAGTCCATCAGGTAGAGTAAACATTTTTTTGCATTTAAAGATCATATAACCAGCTAAGTACCATTAAGTAAAAATAACAGTGATAATAATTTAAACACTTAATCTTTTACAGGATTTCACTGAGTGAATTATGTGATGATGAAGATGACAATGTTGTGTTAGCATTTAAACAACTGAGTAAAGCATTCAATTCAATTTTAGAAAGAAAAGCAATAGACTGAATATTTTACCCAAGTACTGCGCTCCTAGAAAACAGAAATGACCAAGAAATGTTCTTGCCCTTTTTGTGTCTCACGAAATGGTTTACTGCAAAGAACCACCCTTTCTTCTATGACATAGATTAGATTTAAGGGTAACACCCTGTGTACCTATGACAATCCTCAACATTCCCTCCCAACTTCCATTCTTTGCCTCCTAAATGATTAGCTGGGCTGTTTTTCTCCTGCTGACAAAAACCTGCTTGATTGCCTTGACCAACTTAGTTAGCCTTCTCTCCTCCTCACGGGTCCTGACCCTTCATCTACCCTTAGGGCCTTCCTGAAAATCACCCAGATCAGCTATCCCTGATCAACTCTCCAGTCTCTAGGTCCATCTATGCTGTAGCAAAAGGTAAGATTCCATCCTGTGGCTGAGTAATATTCCACTGTAAATCATGAGAGCGATGTCAGAAGTCTGAAATGTCCTATGTTGTACCCAGTCATTATGTGCTAAATGTCTCGTGTCATTCCTCCCATCAGACACTGGGTTCTGAGTACATCTTTCACTTCTCCTGAGACCAGTAGAGACAGATCTATAGGAAATGGGAAATAGACAACTAAAAAAAAATGTTGCATGTGGAATAAAGCACTTCTATCTGTTTCACCAGTTCATCTAGATTTATTGCATGTATGTCCTCATTTTCCTTGGGTGACTTCATGAATCACTGCTGCCCATGATCTCAGTTTTTGTGTTTCCTTTTATGTTGGGAGCCTCTGTTGTGTTTCCTTTTATGTTGGGAGCCTCTGCTTTTATTCTAGGCTACATTGCGGCATTAGTCTAGATTCTCCCCAAAGCTGACCTCAGTGAGTGTTTTTTTGTTGTTGTTGCTTGCTGCTCCTAAGTTACTGGATTTTGAAACACACAAGAGATCAGGCTAAACTATTGGCACAAAGCATATGGTAATTTTCAAAAGACTTTGATACTGATGTTAAGAAGTGAAAACAAAAAGCAATGAGCAAATGGTTGGTTAGGCACTAACATAAAAAAAAATTAGCTAGAGATAAATTGCTTTTACCAGAATAATTATCAAATACACACACACACACACACACACACACACATTCACAAATTCACACTTATTTTTACATCAAGGTGTCTTGCACATCTTAGCCTGACAAGCGTATACCTGACTACATTATGCTGTATATAATACCTTTCTTTTCCTTTTATTTTTTGATCCTCATCTGAGGATATGTTTATGATTGTAAAGAAGGAGGAAGGGAGAGAGAGAGAAACATCAATTGGTTGCTTCCCATATTACTCTGATCAGAGATCAAACCCATACACTTTTGGTGTATGGGACAATGTTCCAACCAACTGAGGTACCTGGCCAGGGCCAGAGCACCTTTATTTGCTTTTAAAGATAGCTTTACATGTTCACTTTAGATTTATTGCATTTGTCCAAGAGTTTTGAAAATTCTTCTAAGGGCCACCTATAATGTTTCCATTGGTCTCTCAAAGCATGCTAAGGGCAGCCATAGGCAGAATCTCTTGTATGAAGTCAATGGTTCATATTTAAATAAAATCTAATTCATGTAATATTTTTTATTATTTCATTATACACAATTTAATAAATTGTTGATTTAGATAAGTAAAAATCTAGTCTCAGATAAATGTATCAATACAGTTTTCTTTGGCTTAGAATAACTTTAAAGATAGAAGAGGATATATGATTCTATAGCTTTGCTACAATGCTACTAATAATGCAAATTCATGACAAAATCTGTATTTGACATGTCTATAAAGAGGCGTGCACAGTGCTCCAAAGCCTTCCCTTGATTTAGTAGTCTTCAGCATCCCCAGCACAGATGGCAAGCAGCGCTTTCTCATAGTGCCCTGAAGCAAAATTCTGAAAGAAATAATGCATTTTAAATAAAATATCACAATATTTCTAAACAGAAGCATAACTTCTCTGAACTACAGTATGAAAGACCCATGGGCTATTAATCTTTTCAAAATTATTTATTTTTTCATCTAAAGATTTAATATATCCTGAGAATTATTCCCAGTGGAAGTTGCTGAAAAATAATTCCGTGGTCGATAGAATAGGGTTTACATAAAGTTGATTGAACCTTAATGTGTATTTATAAGAAGAGTCACTTGAAGTAGAATTAAATCTTCTCAACTTTAGAAAGAAGTGTCCTAATATTGCTATAAATCTTGATAGTGTCTTGGGGGTGGGGGCAAATTGGCAATATGCTTTAAAAAGACTTCTAAATGTTAACATTAATTAATCAAGAAATCCTACTTCATGAAATCAATCCTAAGGGAATAATTATCAATTATTGATGAGCATAAAGATTTATGCTCTAATATTATATATGCTAGTAAGAACATTAAAAAGCAATATGCAATAATGCAGAGAAGTTCATATACTTAGCAAGTTATTCAATAAAAATATTCTGAGTGGTAAAACAAATTCATATTTATATATATTTTTAAAAAGGCAGAAAGCAACTAAAATTGTATTATGGTTATTATCTGTGGACAATTAGGGTAACTTATATTCTTTTTATGCCCTTCTATTATTTCTAAGTTATTCAAAACAATGATAGTAAATAAATGGAATTCTAAAACCTATCTTTGTTAAGACTCAATCATCATATTAATGTTCTTTTATACAATGTCATGTAATTATAAATTACTGCTTTAAACCAACATAGTAAAGTGGAATATTAATATGTAAATATTAGTAGATTTTCACGTGGCTATAATTATTTCCAGTAAATGTATTATAATTTGTTTATTTAGTTCGGAAATGAGTTATGAGATGCATTTCTCAATGACAAATATGTATCATCACTAAAAATTTAGGGTTTGAAGGTGGTATAGGAAGAATTTTATCAAAGACCCAGGAATAAGATTTATCTCAACTGGTTTATCCAAACTGTTCCTCCTAAAAATCACTTTGTCTACTCAAGGGCCTATAAGGTATTCTGTTTTTGTGGCCTCTTGATCTTTGGGTTGTAGAGTTGCTTCTGGATCTCGGTTTCTATTAAAAAGCCATTCATGCAATTGAAATTTTCAGTGGAAACCACTGTGAACAAGGTAAGCATGTGGGAAATAGAATTTAAAATATATCCTCAGGGCCTGTGCTTACAAAGTTCCATTGGTGCCATCGTGAAATTCTTTATACTATTTTTTGTAAAAGGGATCAAACATTTTCATTTTCCATTGGGTACCTCAAATACATAGGTGGTTCTATGTAATATGATAATTCTTTGCTAGGTTTTATCAAAATCCAGGGTAAAGTTTAGACATATCAGAATGATAAAACTGGCTTGTTTACTTCTGAATCATTACTTCTTCCCTCTTCAAAAGCTACAGGGATAGGAATGTATAGAATTTTACATATTAGCATTAAATTCCAAATGACCATCTTTGCTGTCCTGCCTACTATGACAATAAGAGAGGACAGCAGAACTGATCTTAGAAACCTCTTCACAGTATGGTCTTGTTGCAAAAATGTATTTTTCTCAATGCTGATCATACTTCAGTACTTCAGCATTCAGCTCATAAATCACAATTACACAATTAGGAAATTAATGTTTTGCATGACTACATCAATGATGTTTGCTTAAAACATGTGAGAGAGGAATAAGATCAGTAAGTGATGTGGAGGGATTTCCTCAGTTAGCACTGTTGTTGCAGTATAGACTGCCTGATGTACTGACGTCCATTATCCCTGTCAGTTTACTTAACTTTTTAGAGTCTAACGTGAAGTTATTTAACTTAAAGCTCTTATTTTTAAGTTTCAAAAAGAATGAATGAGGGGTCAAAATAAATCACATGCGGGAGACTTACTCTGATCTCATGAAATAGGGATGTTCCATATCTCTCTTTGTACCGTTTCCTTATGGTCAGCAGGTCAATTTCACTTCTGGCAATGAGAATCCTAATTAAAGTCTTATTGTGGAAACCAAAGTCCTAAAAGATACAGAAAAGGGAAGAAAAAAAATTAGAAAACGGTACCTTCCAGTTCATCTGTCTAACATAGACCCTTCCTCTTTTCTATAGCAATTTGCTCTTCTCCCTGTATGCCTCAACCATCCAGGGAGTGCCCCGGTCAGATTCAATTATAAAAATTAAAATGTCAGGTACTTGAAATATTTGCTGATTTAAGCTCACATACTGAAAAAAATTTTTTTAATCAATATTTGTGTACTAACTTCAGAAAGAATACTGTTTTACAAATAAATTTTAAATTGTCTCTTTAAATGGAGGAATGGTGACATCCAGTGGCCAGTCAGCATAAACCAATATTTGATGTCTGAATGTTTTAGGCACAGGCCCACTAACAAGCTTTACCTAATTTGAGGTGACTAAAATGAATGATCTAATCAAATTTCCATATTAACTCATATATCATTCACTGGAGGAAAACACAAAGATTTTATTTGGCTGAGGGTCGTAAAAACAGCTTTTGACCAATATTTTACAATTAAGAGCCTCGTGTATAATAAATTTGATTACTTGATAAATATACAATCCCCCTGTTTATTTTCAAACCATTTGGGGGTACACATAACCTCCTTTTTACATTGCAACACACAGCAGGGGTGCAGTTTTTATTTAGCAGGAGAATAAGTAGCCCTCATTTGGGCATAATTAGAGTCAATAATTGTCATTATGTTCCCATTTCAGGAATGTGCAATTTCTTATGGAGAGTTTGTAATGTGTTGACATTTTCTGTTCTATGCCATATGTTTTGCACTTGCATATAAATATGAGGTTACAGTCTTTAGCAAGATACAAAAGCATTTTAGCACAACCTGGTGACTCAGTTGGATGGAGCATCATTGTTCTGTGCACATACCTAGGTTTTGGGTTGGTTCATACGAGAGGCAACCTCTTTCTTTCTCTCCCTCTCTCTTCCTAAAATCAATAAACATGTCCTTGGGTGAGGGTTAAGGGAAAAAGAACAAAGCATTTGGATTTACCAGTTTGTTCAGTTGCTGAGAAATGCAAAAGTACATGAAGAAGATAGGTCCAAAAGAACTGCAATTCGTAGCTTCCTCAATTTGACATAAAAAGCAGAGGATTATTTTTATTTGATGGGTATCATTTTGGTATATAATATAGTTTTCACTTGAACATATTTGTTCATATTAAATGAGTATATTTGTATACAATTTTAAAAATTAAAATCAATATTTAAATAATGGAAGTAAAACTAGTAATTCGAGGAAGTAGACATGACTTTGGGAGAACATTTTTATTTTTATTTTTTAAATATATTTTATTGACTTTTCACAGAGAGGAAGAGAGAGGGATAGAGAGTCAGAAACGTCGATGAAAGAGAATCATCGACCAACTGCCTCTTGCACACCTCCTAGTGGGGATGTGCCCACAACCAAGGTACATGCCCTTGACCGGAATCGAACCCGGGACCTTCCAGTCCGCAGGCTGACGCTCTATCCACTGAGCCAAACTGGTGCCGGCTGGGAGAACATTTTTAAAGATGTGGGTCATACTTACATGGATTGCACTATGTAGTCTATAAGCAAAATAGGCTGGTTTGTCTCGAACACAGAGAACTACAAAAATCAGAGAGAAAAAAAAGAGAAAGTTTGAAAGTGACAATATATATATTTTCTTCAAAATTTGAGAAACAATAAGCACACTTTTTTTTTCCATTACGGTCTTGGAAAGGTCTTTGTGAGTCTATATAGGATCTGTCATTATATAGTGTATTGCAATTTCAACATTGAAATTAGTAGTAACCAATAAAAGTGTAACAAAACAATATTATATTGATTAATTCAGATTTTCATTTATCTCTATCTCTTGGAACTCTCTTATTTCCTTCATAAAATGTGTCCTCTTTATCTGAAAATTAATAAAGCTTCAAAAAGACCCAGGTTACCACCACTGTTATAGATTTTTATTACTGTAGAACTCAATGTGACATAGCCCCTTGCAAGTGGTTCATCTTCCTGATCACTATTTTTAGGGTATATATTTGTGAATAGATCTAAAATCTCTCAAAGAGAAACTATATGGACAATAGCTGGTCTACACCAGTGTTAGAAATCATTTCATCCAAATCATGATGGCATTAGAACAGCCTAGAGTCTAGTCAACAGTAGTCCCTGATGAAAGTCAATTGACGATTATAGACATTCAATATTGTTTATTTGAGTAAATAAATTAAGAAAGGAATGAGTAAAGTATGTAAGTCTATAATTTTTATGCAAAATAAATAGAATCCTGCTAGAATGTAAGAGTCTTAAGGACAGGGGCTTTTGCTTTTGTTGTTTTTATTGTCCCATCTGCAGTGCCTAAATCAATGACCAGAATAGTAAATAATCAATATGAATGAATGAAGCAGTTAAATTGTTTTGTTTTTTCTAATGTTCACAGTTTCCTGTCTCATGCCCACTGCTTTGTGTTGTTGTTTTGTTTTTGTGTGTGTGTCTATTTTATTTTTAAAATTTATTAATTAAATTCTTTATTGTTTAAATATTCCATATAGTATTACTTATGTATTGCATATGTCTCCTTTTTCCTCCACTGACCTCCCCCTGGCCACCCTTGGCCCCCTCCCCCCCATTCCCACACATGCCCTTAGCCCCCTAATGTCTGTGTCCATTGGTTATGCCAATATGCATGCATCCAAGTCCTTTGGTTGATCTCCTACCCTCCACTCCCCTGCCTTCCCTCTGAAGTTTGATGGTCTATTCAGTGTTTCTCTGTCTCTGGATCTATTTTTGTTAATCAATTTATATTGTTTATTATATTCCAGAAATGAGAGCGTGTGATATTTATATCTCTCTAACTGGTTTATTTCACTTAGCGTAATGCTCTCCAGGTCCATCCACGCTGTTGCAAATGGTAAGGGTTCTTTCTTTTTTTTACTTTGTTTGTTGCTGCAGTCTAGTGGAAAGAGAGCTCTATCATGAGATTCAGGTGGCATGGGTTCTAGTTATATCTTGATTGCTAATTAGTTGATAGACTTTGGAGTAGTTGCTTAACCTCCTTAGGCTTTGTATGCAAAATGAGGAGTTTTGATGTCAGTATGGAATTATATTAAAAATTTACTGAAATATATGCACCTTATTCTCAGGAAAATACACAAGTATTCATTTTTTTTTGTTTGTTTTGTATACTATTTTAGGGATTTCATAGAAACCACCAAACCTTTTTTTATGGAACCCTAGCTTAAAATTTCTTAAAATTCTGTTATTTTTCAGCTTCCATGCCCATGTATGTATGTCTTTGTCACTTTAGGGATGGAAAAATCACAATAGTCATCTGTTCAACAAATGTCTGAGTATTTAATGTTTGCCTACTAAAAGCAACATATCAAAACGACTCCTCATTGGTAGTCTTTGAATGTGTGCTCTCAATTCACAGCATAGCACAGAGGAAAGCATGGGAAGTTAATAGGAGTTTTTATGGGTAGTTACTACTGTTTCTCCTTTATATAGGGATAATTTTATTCACTTAGGCAGACGCAGAAAGTATATTCCCTCACAGTAGCCTGAAGAAACCACTGCTAAAGGAACATCTTGGAAAATCTTTTTCTATAGTAAGACTTACCCCTAAAGGCATAAATTTATTAGACATGGTAACAAAACACTCTTTTCCTCATGCAGAAAAAGAACCCATATTGCTAGCACTAATCTGCTCTTTAACAAGGGAATGGGAAACAAATGAGTTTAAAGATGTGATATTCCAATTATCTGAGAGAGAGAAAAAGAGAGAGAGAGAAAACATTTGAGAATCCAATGTTTCCTTGTATGGAAGTTGAGCCAGCTATTAGGGAAGTGTATTCATTCATTAAAGTGGTCAGTGTGCCAGTTTAGTGCATTGAATCTGTAGCTGATGTACTTTTTCTCTATAAAGTTACCTTTCCTTCTAAATAATTAAATTTAGGAGAAAGTGACTCAACCAATAGCTTACTTTAACATAAATAGCTTACTTTAACATAAATGCTTCTTTAACATTATCAGAGCCAATCAGCATTGGTAGTGGAATAAAAGGCCTGACATACACTAACTAAATTATTACTTACCTATGGCAACTAGAAGCTCTTGAAAGTATCCATCATAACATTCATTAATGGCATCCACAATGTCTTGTCCAGAAATATTTTGAAATTCCTGGAACACTTTAACAAATTGATATAATTCAATAGAAATATTATAGATTTGCAAATATGATACATTTAAAATAAAAATATTGATTACTATACACAGGGAAGGCAAATAAAATATAGGGGTGGGAATTGGGTTGAAGTAAATCACCTTTTAATTTTTTTAAATATATTTCTGTATGTACTATATAGGTAAGAAAACATAAAAGAATTTAAAAAATAAGAGAAACACAAAGGTACAGCGATTTGGGGAAAGTCAAAGTGCAAACTAATCTGAATGCAACTTTTAGATCAATACAGCAGCTTCATAAAATTCATGATGTCCATAGTAATGACCTTGACTCACAATGGGCTGATTAAATTATGTTCACTATCGGGGGGTGGGGGGGTTATGGTAATAAGGACACATATGAAATACCTTAATCAATAAAGGAAAAAAATAAAATAAAGAGATGTTTTTTAAAGGTTCATTATTTAAAGATTATATTCAGTTATTGAAAAAAAATAAAATTATAGGGTAACTTTATTTCTTTAGTAATGTCTTTAGGTGAAGCATGTCTGTATAAACACAATTTCAAATCAGTACCTTTGAGATAATTAACTGGTTTTCCTCTACTTATATGTGACATTTCCCCCATTCCTATTTTTTTCCACTTAACTACTTGCTTTCTATTATATAATCAGTTAAGTATCTGAAAAGAAGCCTGATTACTAATTACCCAGCCACAGCTGCTGGTAACTCTTGTTGCACAGGATCACTTGTAGCATGGTTTTGTGTTCCCCTGTCTTCTGCTGACAAGCTTCCCACAGGACCTGAAACATCAGATGTGCAGGAAGTAGCACCGGAACCTCCCCAAGCCAGACCAGTTTAATAACCAATGGTTCTTGACAGTCATTCGGAAAGCTGATTCTACTTACTATTGCATCCTGAGCAGCCATGGCAGGGTCTGTGTAACCTTCCTGTCTGCTTCCCTGTAAAGTAAGCATGGGGTTTCCTTTGTTAACTGTTCTTAATTGACAATTCATATAGAATTATTGAAATGAAACCTTTGAATCGCAAACACACTGGTAATTCCTAAGAAAATTCTATCATTATTTACAGTTAGCCTTGTCTTCCTTGAATACTTTATGAAATATTTTTTTTTGTTAAAATGTGGGTACTTTTTGTTTTTCTTTGTAGTAGTGGTAATATTTCAAAGATGTTGAAGTGTTCGTCACTTCCTGTGCACTATCTTCTCTGCCATAAAAAAGAGCATCCAATGCCTGGCCGTGGGTGGTAGAGATGAGATTTAACATTGTTAGAGTGAAAATGCACAGAGGAAGAAGGAGTTAACATTAGGTCTCCGACACATGAGTAAGATATATGCAACAATAAAATAACCATGAAATCTAGATTTGATGGAGTGCCAATATTTTGTGATTTGTTTTATCCCCATCTCTTCATTATATAAAGAACAGACAGGGCCAAGTTGATTTAAGGGATGTGCATTTCAAAATAGGAGGACCCCATGCAGGACCCTCTGGTCGCTGAGTAATATGCAGGCAAGAGGGAAGAAGGAGGTGGGAGAGATAGGTTATCAGTTTATTTAACCTTTCATTTGGGTTGAGATCCAGAGAAAAGGCTTTTTCTTTCTTTTTTTCTGGGGACACTGTTGCTCTCCTGTTGCCAAGCCATCTCATAATTCACACTCACCTCTCTACCAAGTGCCTTCTTAAAGAGAAAGAGAAAGGAGGGCCGGAAATCTGACAGTTGAGTGTTTAACTCAGTAAACATATAAATGCTATTGAACATATACTCTCACATTGACTGTTCCACATAGTCTATATGTTAAATTTCCGTATTAGATTAAATATTGGTTCTTCCCCCTTGTGAATCAAAAATTGAGGGCAAATGGGAAAGATTAAATCATTCCAAGTGAAATTTTCTTGTGAGTACATGTGTAGCCCTTGGAAATTTAGTATGTTCAAATCATAACTCAGAAGTTGTGTATGTGTGTCATCTAGCGGAGTACAGATAAAGAAAAACTTACCGAGCTTGTCAGACACATTACAATATCAGGTGCTTTGTAATTCTTATTTTAAAAATCTGTATACTTACCTAAAAAAACAGTGCTTTATACATAGATGAGCAAGAAATAGAAGACAACATTTAAAGTGAACATACTTTCATTGATTAGTAAGATATGGATGTTATGTTATCTTCAAGTTACCACAGTGCTCAGAGCATTTGAAGGAGACTGATAGAGTAAAAGGATGTGAATAGGTTTGTGATTTAGTGTTTGCCACCAAGGCAGAATCAATCTGATGTCACATAAAAAACAGCCTAAGATGTAAATGCCAGATAAATGGAATAAATGAGTACAGAATTTGGATTAGGGACAAAATAAAAACGTGAAAGGAAATTTGAAATAAAGGGGATTAAAATATAGCTGAGAATACTTGGAGCAGGTATGCTGACTACAAATGATCACTGGAGGCTTTGGGCAATGACATCCCCTGAGGCCTCATTGTACAAGTCTGAGAAACTGTCACAAGGAGGATCCTGACAGCCACAATGAGGAGTAAGCTTCCAGTTGGCTAGTTTCCATGCTTTCTCTGTGAAAACATTTATCATCTCCAGTGTGCTTTGCATATATTGATTAATTAATTTCTGAGTGACTCATTTTTTCATTATTTGACATAATTAGATCTCCTGTAAATCTAGTTTAATAAAGGCACACAGAAAGTATTATGAGCCCAGTTTAATGATTGGCATTAGTTTTCAAGAGGAACGTTTTCTGGCTGAGTTATCACTTTATTAGAAATAGCCCTGAGGGAAAATACTCTATAGATTCAGTGGAAGATCTTTTCTCCCAGAAAATATGACAGGGATTTTCAGGACTTCCCCTTGCATGAACACCTTAGTCTCCAGTGCTCTGATTCCCTCCATCTTTGTTAATCCACAAAAGGAGGTGTGTCTTAATTTTCAGGATGTGGGAAAAAGTGAAAGCCATGGACAGTCTTTTCTCTGATTTTGAAAGTCACTAGGCAACCAAAACCAAAACTCAGTGGATAGAGTGTCGGCCTGCGGACTGAAAGGTCCCAGGTTCAATTCGGGTCAACGGCATGTACCTTGGTTGCGGGCACATCCACAGTAGGTGGTGTGCAAGAGGCAGCTGATCGATGTTTCTCTCTCATCGATGTTTCTAACTCTCTATCCCTGTCTCTTCCTTTCTGTAAAAATCAATAAAATATAAAAAAGAAGAAAGTTACTATGCAGATGGAGGAAGAGAATGTAATATTAATAATTGAAGAAATTTACAATATTTGTTTTTAAAAATATATATATCTTATTGATTTTTTTACAGAAAGGAAGAGAGAGGGATAGAGAGTTAGAAACATCGATGAGAGAGAATCATCGATCAGCTGTCTCTTGCACACCCCTTATTGGGGATGTGCCCGCAACCAAGGTACATACATGTCTTTGACTGGAATCGAACCTGGGACCTTTCAGTCTGCAGGCCGACGCTCTATCCATTGAACCAAACCGGTTTCGGCGAGAAATTTACAATATTTGTATTAGGAGGGCATTGCAAGAAGAATGGGTTCACATCCCTTAATTTACAGAGTGAATTTCTCTAATCTGAATCACAAAAGGTTAAATCATAAATCCAAGGACATACAGCGAAATTATAACAGAGCCAGAGAAACAGATATCTAATACATACCTTATTGTTTTACAGAGATGATAGATAGATGATAGATAGACAGGCATATAGGGACTGAGAGAATAATAATCCTAACAAGAAGGTTGAAGAGATACAGTTACATGGCAGCACCCCTCAATTATCTGATTGAAACTTATCAGTTCTAAATTTCATACCCCTTTAAGAATGAACTCCATTTTCTTTTTGTAAAATATTTAGGTAGATTCTCTGTGAAATGGTGTACCCATAGACAGTGGTCAGGAGAAGGGATGAACTTTCTCAGTTTCCTAATTCACTTTATATCTTCTTCCAATCTTTTCAATATACTGAGCCAAATCATAAATCAGGAGTTCCAAACTGAAGAGCCAGTGAAATATCTTCAAAATATTTTAAATTTAAGATAAATTATACATTTTACTAAGAAGTATGAATTATCATGAACTTTTGATTTCCAAAAAAGATGAATATTAAGGGTGATTATATGAAGATACCTATTTTCATAGTTTTTTACTTCTATTTTTTATTATGAGTAAAATAATTTCTATTAAATATACATTTTATACATGTAAAGTACATTTTAAATTTTAAGGAAAATGTAAAACCTTATAAGTATATAATCTTTAAATAAACTTCATTAATTTTCTTGGCTTCTGATAAAATCTAGGTCTCTAACCTCGTTTATATATTCTGTTGTGATAGGAACATTTTATTACACTGAAAAGCTATTTAAATATTAAACACACACACACACACACACACACACACGCACACACATACACACTTAAAATTTAAACCCTAGAAATTGAACTTAAGAAGTTATACTTTATCCTGTAAAGTTTTAATACAAATTAGGTAAAACCAAGTGCTGAAATAAATTGTGTCTTATTTTAAAATACATGTTTCTATATAGATAATACTATTACATATACAGATAAAGATACTTATAGACCCTATAATAATAAAGCATTATTGTTTAATTTCAGGGAAAAGGAACTGCAATTATGAATAAGATTGACTTCTCTATTATATCAAGAGAAAATATTATTCCATTGTTTTTCCCTCTTCTGATTTATTTTCTCTCATGTCTAATTTTTAGAAGTGTTTTTTCACCCTGAAATATAAGAATGTTTGCTTTATAAAAATACACTGTGATCCTAACTCTTAGATGTCAGTTACTTTTAGGTGGTTTATAGCTCAATCTTTAAGGAGTGCAGAGATTCTATATAAGAGGTTATTTGTGCATTGGTCATTGACATTTTGCCAAATAGAAGTAGAACTGGAGTGCAATCAAGTGGGGTTGGAGGTTAATTAAAGTGAACCAGGGAGGTACAGTGTGCTAACGTCTGTTTTCATATTAGCCCTCGCATGTAGGGAACGTATAATGTTGGACAGGCCATTCAACCTCTCTAGGGCTTTAGTCTCCTCATCTCTCAATGGAACAGTTATAGCCAGTTGGGTTCCCTGGGAAGGTGGCTCTGAGCTGGAGATCAGCATGCTCTTGTTTTTGACGGAATGTGCTTGGGATCAACAGAGATAGAAGGGAGAGAAAGGAAGCAGAATTTGGCAGAAGGAGAAGCTGGATCTTGATACAGTAGTCTATGTAGCTCTGATACAGTAGGCCTAAAAAATATTTTTTTTTCTTTTGGAAAACATATTTTTCTTCAATAAGTAAAATACATTTCTATGTGGATATAAAGAAAATATATCAGAATGCATCTCATAAATTTACTATGGAATTATTTGCTTTACTCTTCTATTATCAACAATACATACACCAATGTAAAATAAAATTTTTATTGGAAATTATTTGTTTTAATTTATATTATATAGCATCATTACCTGAAAATTAAAAAATAATGACCCTTCTAAATTGAGAGAACGTTTTAATTAAAATTAATTTTATGACATTTAAAAGTTAGAAGCTTGACTGGTGTTGCTCAGTGGTTGAGCGTTGACCTATGAACCAAGCTGTCACAATGCAATTCCTGGGCAGGGCACATTCCTGGGTTGCAGGCTCAGTCCCCAATAAGGGGCATGAAGGAGGCAGCTGATTAACGATTCTCTCTCATCATTGATGTTTCTGTCTCTCTCTCCTTCTCCCTGAAATCAATAAAAATATATTTAAAATAGTTAGAAAGTTTTCAATTGGCATGAAAAGTGAGATTATTTTTAAATGTTAATCATGATTATTAACTTTCCCTACAATCACTTAAACTTTCCTTACAAATTAAAATAAGCTTATTTCATGCCGAAACCGGTTTGGCTCAGTGGATAGAGCGTCAGCCTGCGGACTGAAAGGTCCCGGGTTCGATTCCAGTTGGGGGCACGTACCTTGGTTATGGGCACATCCCCAGAGGCAGCTGCAAGAGGCAGCTGGTCGATGTTTCTCTCTCATTGACGTTTCTAACTCTCTATCCCTCTCAATTCCTCTCTGTGTAAAATCAATAAAATATATTTAAAAAATAAAAATAAAATAAAATAAGCTTATTTCTAAAGTTACACAGAACTCAAGTTGGGCTATAAAAAAATCAAACTTTCTATTCTCCATTGATGTTACGATTTTAGATTTAGAATCCTTAGAGTAGGAGTTGATTCACTGAGATTGGTGATATGGGCAGCTTATGAACTATGCAGCCAAACCACACAAATCTAAATAAAGTCAAATAGGAAACAAAACACAATAAAGCAAATTGTTAATTTTGTTTTTAATTGAAATTTTAAATTTTATTTGCTTAGGAATGTGCCACTCTTTTCAATTGAACAATTTGAAGGAACCCAATCGGTATGAATGACCATTCTCCTCAACTTGGGGCAATATCTACTTGGATTTCTCAATGTTTTATTTTGTGCTCCTTTATTCCTAATTCAAAACTGACAATAACGTGGGCATACACACACATACATACACACAAAGAATTAAAATCCATGCTTCCTGGCAATGAATGGAATTGTTATTTTGTGCTCTAACCTGGCAATATATCTATTCATCTGTTAAGTCATACAAAATACGTGTAAAGTGCAGTAGGAAGTTTTTCATCACATTAAAGGAAACTATACCTTCTGTCTTTGATTTGACATAGGAATCCCCCCTCCAAATGAGGAAGACAGCAAAATTACAGAAATGGTGTACTATTTATTTTTGCTTCTCTCTATACCCAACCTATTTTGGTGCCTTGAATTATGTTGGTATTTAGTAAATGCTATTATATAGAATTTACTGTTAAACTAGAGTAATATGGAGGTTTCTGTTCTGTTTTACGAAAATGAAACATATATTTTTAATCGTGCAAAATGGTGTAAAATTTTGAGTATCATACCTGGACCAAGTTCATGAGAGTATCTCTGAAGTGTCCTGAGGTCTCTGAGTAGATGTCTTCTTGAAGGTTACTGCTGTACTCTGAATAAGGAAACACCCATGTTAAAGCTACGAGTTATTATAGAACCATGTATTGATGTAATTTGAATAAGTTAATGCTACTTCTTCAATTGAGAGTGGAAAACAAAGAAAATACAATCGATCTGTTGACATTTCTTTGTCCTTTCATATGTTCTACTCAGAAGAAGCCAATAAACAGTTAACCTACATAACAGTAACGTTGGCATGGGGCTGTTTTCTCAAAAAATACTATCTTTATTCCAAAGTTTAAAAACAATATTGAAAGTCATTTCACACTTTCTAATTCTCAAAATTTAGAATGATAAATTATATTTCCATAGACTGCTGCTCACCCCAGAGCGTTTTTACAGTGCTTTGTCTCACTTTAATATTTTCAGTGAAGGGTCTTACTTCATTCCCTTTGGGAACGATGTGTTTTTGTTCAAATACACCATAGCAGATTGACTGGGACATTTTCTTGACATTCAGTGTCACATAATGCTGAATACATAAAACCTTTTTGAAAATGAAAATAGTTAACCTCTCTACTTTAAAAATGTGTAAAAATCTGATTTTGAGGTAGATTACAGTGATTGCAAAATTTATATAAAGTGAAGTAGTTACCCATATTTGTACAACTAGCTGAGTAGTTATTGCACATTGCTTTATTTTGTCTATGTATCTGGTCTCTCCTGAATAAGAGTTAAAATGATCCCTGAACCACTGTGCTGGGCACTTTCCTGTCTTAATGTAAACATTCACCTCTTAGAAGCAACTTGTAATTATTTTCCTGGGGGAAAAAATGTTTCATTTGATTGTCTAAGGAATAGTTTCATTTTTAATTAAATAATTTTTAATATATAGATTTTTTTTGAGAGAGAGAGGAAGGGAGAGGAAGAGAGAGAGAAACACATCGGTGTGAGAGCCAAAACATCAATTGGCTGCCTCCTGCACACTTTCTACTGGTAATTGATCCCACAACCTGATGGGGAATCGAACCAGCAATCTTTCAGTACACAGGATGACACCCAATCAAATGAGTCATACCAGCCAAAGCAATCATTTCATTTTTAATACCCTAATCATCACTTTTATTTAATGAGTATATCATTTTTATATTTTAAATGTAACAGTGTCTTAGAAAATACTTTAAAATACATAAATAATTCTGTTATTTGAAAAATATAAGGTTGATATGTGTGTAAATACGTTTATTTCCTTACGCAAACAGTAGGCTTCTCGCATTTGGAAAATTTCTCCATTTGTTCTTGAAGCTAATATATCAATGAGGCAATTCTCTTCAGTGCCTACTCCCTGGAAAGACAGAAAGAGAGAAATATCAAGGTATTGCACTGGGAATAATAGTGCACCTTATGAAGAATAAAGGGACATAGCCTTTCTGGAATTCTGAGAGGTGGCAGAGGCCAAAAGAATTGTGTTTGGGTTCAAGGTAAGCCCGATACAGTCTGACTCTACTATTTACCAGCTGTTTCACCCTGAGAAGATAATATTATTTGATATATGTTCCTTCATTTAGAATAAAACAACTTGGGCATTTCTAAAAAATGTGGGAAAAGATATTTAAACAATGTTCAGGACACTGGTTTTTGCTGCTCAAATATCAAAATTTTGGCAAGCTGGGCTTTTAATTTCCTAAGGATGTTTAGGGACTGACTTTTCCTAGATATGGAATTTTTGTATTATTTGCCTAAACATTTGAATTGGGTACTTTCCATGGTCTCTTGCAGCCTAATGCATATACAGCATGGGGCAAAAGTAGGTTTACAGTTCACATGGAAAAAACAATACAATAATTGTTTTGTTTTCCATGTGAACAACTGTAAATAATTAATACAGGAATAACCTCTGTTTTGAGTATTCATAACTGTAAGTCTATTTTTCTCTGCTTTGTATTCTTCTCTGATAGTAATTTTAAAGGCAGCACATCTTTTTTGGAAAAGCTTCAGAAATTCTTACTACTGTTCTATGTGATATAGATAAAATATTACAGTTTCATCTAAATATTAACATGATCTTAAAGCTTTTAATCACGAATTTTGAAAGATGTAGGAATTGACATATGTAACTTTAAAAAAGCAATTAGTTGAAATTCATATGAATTTTATACAATGCCTATTCTGATCTACAAATATGCGATGGCTAAAATCCAGGTTCCCTTCACTTTTGTTCCTTTCCTCTTTCTTGTCCCACATTGTTCACAGATGGTGGTAATCTGGTCATTGGCAGGCATTGTATTGGAGTGATTTCAACAGTCCTGCAGGTGTTTAATATTAGCATTTGGAAGGATGTTAAAACTCTTTTTTTGTTCCTTATCCCTAGTCAACAAAATTTCTAACAAATCTGTAGTCAATTTATTTTATAGAAATTATTTTCCTGTGAAAAAGAAGATCCTAATCCTTCAGAAGTAACATTTAGATACATTTGAGCAGTATTTTATTTTTTATTTTTTTGTAAAGGACTAACTTAAGATCACAAAAATATCCAAATAACGATGTCATCTATATACTGTTTCTAACTCAGTATCCTATTTTTACTTCAGAAGCCAATTTTTTAAAACAAATAATTTAAAGAGATTCATGTGACATAGCATTTCCCCTTAATGTAAGAATACATGAAGAGCCGGGACCGGTTTGGCTCAATGGATAGAGCGTCGGCTTGGGGACTGAAGGGTCCCTGGTTCGATTCCGGTCAAGGGCATGTACCTTGGTTACGGGCATATCCCCAGTAGGGGGTGTGCAAGAGGCAGCTGATCAATGACTCTCTCTCATCGATGTTTCTAACTCTGTATCTCTCTCCCTTCCTCTCTGTAAAAAATCAATAAAATATATTTTAAAAAAAAGAATACATGATGGGGAGGGAGAATCTGAATAAGTCCCTGAAGCTTATTTATTTTTTCCTTTTGGTAGCTCAGCTGGGCCAGGGAGCCTGAGTCTAACAAAAGAACAGGCTAATCCCACCCCGTGACCTCCAGAGGACCCTCTCCTAACAGGGCCACTTCTCCTGACCACCGCATTCCCACGGTCTCCTCTTTGTCCTTCCAGATCCTGTGTAACAACATCACAGGGCACTTTCTTCTCTACCAATCTATGGCCTCTACCTGTTACCGGTCTATTTCTGCATCAGACCACTACCTTCATGGCATGCCAGAGTTCGTGAGCATCATAAGATGGTGGTGGGTACATGAGGCCAACCATAACTTCTTTGAAGTGATCTGACAGCTTCTCCTTCAAGTCACCAATCAGATCCTATGAGGGGAAAAGTGAATATTTTTATTGTATCAGTTACCAACTTATAAGAGGAAAGGGATAATTGCGTAAGTCTTCTAGTAAAATTTCCTTTTCTATGTCATTTCACTTAATAACAAGTCTGGTTTTGATTCATACATATATACATGGATTATACAAGATGATGGACTTGAGGGTTTGAATATGAGATGTCATCTCTATGGATATTCTAATCAACAAACAAGGAACAATATTCTTTCCCTAATCTCAGCCCAACCCTCTTTTGACCTCAGTGTGAAAATAAATAAAAGTTGAAATCTACAAACATGTTGATTAGGAGCTCTTAGTTTTCTTGTGTGGAATTAATGAAACATTAGTCCTTAAATAAAATATATGTTATTTTATCTTATTTCATTTCATTTCATTTCATTTCATTATTGTAGCAGTCACTCAGCAGGGGGCTCCAGGTTATACTATTGCCAAAAAGCTTGTGTAGATGATTTTAGTAATCTTAGACTTTCTTCAAATTGCCACATTAACACAAGCATGCTGAATTGACCTTTTAAGACATATATGAAAGTATGAAATTGATTGTTTTACTTGGACTTTTATTTTATTTAGTATAGGGAGAGTATTTTAAAACATATATGTTGTTTATCTTTTGTACAGTTAAAAATATATTTGTTTAAAATTTATCATTTTATACTAAAATGTATGAAGTACAGTCAATATTTCCTTAAATTATGCAATATTTTAGTTCTGAGGTGGTTCAAAAATAGAATGAGGCGGTTCAACAATGTAAACAAAATAGTTATAATTTTAATTTTATATCTAACAGCACCTCTCCTATAATTTAATTTTTCTTTTTTCAGTGAGTAGAGGCATTCTTCCCCAAGATGGTAATTAGTAATACAGAAAATCTGTTGAATTTTCATTAGGGTCAATGCAATTCATTTAATGAGCAATTATGGCCAGAGTTGCGTCAGGTGTCTGGAGTACATATAAAACCATAAAATCTCCATTTTCTTGGAGCTTATGTTCTGTTTAATTTCCTCATTATTTGCCAGTGATTTTTTTTCTAATTTCTTTACCAAATAGCTCTTAAGATGCTATTATGAACCAGGCTCTCTTCCAAGTACTGGGGCTACAGCAATAAATAAAACAGATATGAGCATATGGGCTTGTAAAGCTTTTGTTCTCATATCCACAGGAACTCAATGAATATTATTTTAATATTTATTTAATACTGTTTTCTAGACATGGTGGTGAGGGAGAAATACAACATAGACCCTGTTTTCAAGGAGATTCACATTCCACAAACCCAAGATAACATAAGTAAAAATGTGAGCAAATATACTTTCTAGGGCTTTCAATAGAATTTTTTTACCTACGTTCCTAAAGCAGTAGTACAAGAGGGTGGAAATAATTCAGATAAGAGATCCATTCTGATTACTTATCTGAATTAATTTCAGGATTAGGGATTGGATCGTGTTTAGAAGACAAAACAAGAGGTATTGTGATGGGAGGTAGAGAAGACATTTGTGAGGTTCATTTTGTGTCAATGTGACATTTTATGTGTTAATGTTTGACCCAGCTATTTGTCCAATCATTATCCTTACTATTACTGTAAAGGTATTTTTTTTTATGGGTTTAACATTTAAATCAGTCGACTGAGTAGAGCAGATTATTCTCCGTAATGTGGTGGGTCTCAGTCAATTGAAAGCCTTAATAAAAACAGACTGGCATCCCCAGGAAAAGAGAATTCTGCCAGCAGACCACCTTTGGAACTAAACTGCAAACCCTCCCCAAGCCTGCTGCCCAAGCATAGGGATTTTGAGATTGCCAGTCTCGATAATAATGTGAGCTAATGCTTTAAAATCCTCTCTATGTGTATCTGTGATAGATATATGAAGAGGAGAGAGGAAGAAATACTGAGATACTTTTTGGTGTGTAGAGGGGGAGGGAAAGGATGAATTCTGATGCACTTAGACTTAGCAGTGGCTCAGACAATGGACTAATCTGCCTCGCCTGCAGCTCAGCTGCCATCAATTCCCTTTTCCCAGTGGAAGTCTGACCTCCCGAGATCTCGAGAGTTCTAGGGACCGCAGGGGATTCCAGTTCTGAGGACTGTGCCTCGGATTCTTCAGTAAGGAGTCTGGCTCAGGCCCCTATCAGGCAAATAAGTATAAATGAGTGTGCAGAACTCTGACGGAGACACCCTCCAAGAAGGTAAGCAGTCGGAAAAAGAGAAGTGTCTGTGTGCTTTGCATTTGTCCTGTGAATGAGTCAGTCCAAGGAGACTGAATTGTCCACTTGGAGAGAATGTGAGTATTAAATGAGGGTCGCAGTGCAGAACTGTGTGTTGTTGTGCATCTTCGCTCCTGCGGGAACTCAGGAACCAGCACAGCTTTTGGTGTCAAAGCAACTCTAAGCCTGTGCTCCATTCATTCACCAAATGATGATGGCTCGCTTATTTATTATACATATATACATATATATATATATATATATATATATATATATATATAAAAATTTATTTTATTTTTTATTAAATTATTATCTGTGTACATATCTTACCATTTCCATATATATATATATTATTTTTAATTACTTTATTGATTAAGGTATCACATATTTTTCCTCATCCCTCCCATTCCCATCCCAAACCCCTTCCCACAAAGCCCTTCTGCCCCTCCTTGTCTGTGACCACTGGTTAGGCTCATATGCTTGCACACAAGTCCTTTGGTTGATGGCTTCTTTAAATGACGGTTTTCTCAATATGCATCACTAAGAGTTCTGGACTTTAATTAATGTTAGCAAATTTAACTTTTATTAGTCTACTGCTTTTAAAATTTCAAAATGGGATATCGCTTAAAAAACTTGTGCCTTTAAAGTTATTTCCTTAAATGATTTCCAGTTAGTTATTTTGTTATTTTTAAAGAAGTTTAGGATACAATACCTGTTTCTTTTCTATATGTAAAAAAATGTTTTCTACCATATAAAAAAATTAAAGCCATTTAAAAGGAATCAGAAGCCTCCCAATTTCGAAGATTTTAGCATTTTTGCATACTAGTATATTGTAGGGAAATCGTACATCCAGCATTTATATTGGTGCCATAAGGTAATTAGACACTAATTTAATAGTCATGTGATGATTCTAGTTGAGAGGAAGAGTTTGTAAAATTATTCAGATAAATTTAATATTCTGTTTGGAGGTGGGATACTTTTTCCTTTACTCCAATTGAACATCACTGAAGTAGAAGAGTATATATATATATATATATATATATATATATATATATATGAAGAGTATATACATACTCAAAGCAAGCTATAATCTATTCTAGTACATATTATTAAAGGCCAAAATGAGGCTCTCATGAGCAGTTTATTGAGATTCACAAAGTTATAGAAATTTATAAAAGAAAGATGCTATCAGTAAATGAGAGTTCATCAGAAGTGTAGATATGAGCTAGACCTTGGAAGATGATTTATTAGACAAAGGCATGGGAGATATCAACAATAGACAGTATTTAAGGCAGAGCACTGGCTTGGGTAGAGTAAATTGTTTACATGAAAGGGATAAGCTAGCTCTAAATAAATGTTGAATTTGTTTTGAAATCTAAATGTTTTAGATGTACCTTTTAAGTGTTTGTATTGATTTTTAAGAGAGAGGATGGGAGAGGTATAGAAACATCATGAATCAGCATAGCTGCCACTGGGGATAGAGCCCACAACCTGGGCATGTACCCTGACCGGGAATTGAGCCAGTGACCTCTTGGTTCCTGGGTTGAACCTCAAGCACTGAGCCACACCGGCCAAGCAAAATCTATTTTAAAGAAGCCTTTGAATGTTAGTTATTCTTATATCCTTCTAGTTCAGAGTGGACAGACCCCAGTAATGGAACGTGAAGCAGGTCAGGCAGAAGAGTGTGTTGATTATAATAACCATAATACTTACTGTTCGCTGTGTGAGTACCAGAATAACTATAATAATTTGTCACAACAACCCTATGAATTAGGAACTATAATCATCCCACAGTACAGATGAGAAAACTGTGGCAGGTAGAGCTTAAGTAGCATACAAATCAACAAGTGGGTGATGGAGCCTGTATTTTAAATTGAGCATTTTGGACTTGTAGCCTCTTTATGTTATGAAGGTCATAGGAAGTCACTAGTCATATATCAGCAAGGTGATGAACATAACACATATGTGGTGAATGCAGCGTTTATGAACATTTGCATTTAGTAGCAGTGCTTTGAAGGTTTAAATGCAAATAGATCAATAATTGTACTTGGCAGTTGGTACAAAGGTAGGAATATTAGAATTATCTCCTTTATAAGCCTTCCTCTAATTCTGAGTGAAGTTGATTAATTCGTTGCCAGCACTGTTCTATCTTCCCATGTTTTACACTAGATTTTAATGACCATATTATTTACATTGATTTCCTCCTAAAGTTTATCAGGATATGGATTTGCTCATAAATGTTTTTAAATTCACAATTTAACTCTATCAAAGTATACAGTATACAAAATTTGCAGAGGATAAAGTATATACTAGTAGAACATACAAGTAAATATGTAAACAAGTGAAAGGAGAAACTAATGAATGTGGAAGAAAACCCTTAATTTACTGATTATATTTAAAGAAGAACGAAAATGTTCAAGCTGAAGATTGCTTGGGAATTGCAAACGTGTTTTATTTAACCTTTACTCACATTTCTTTGATCATTGATCCTCCCAAACATTTACCGTGTATACGTCTTCGTTTACTATGTATACTGATCCTGAACACCTCTGTATATTTTCCGTTGAAGATGGAGATTAGTACTGCCACTAGATGGCAGTGGTATACTAGTATTTTTCTTTTGTAACTCAGGTGTATGTGTTTGCATAGATAGCTATAGTGAACTGATTTTATAAAAGATTGCAATGAAATTATAAAATGTCAGTGAAATCAAAGTCATCAGCTATCATCTAATGCCATTAGAGGTACAGTTTCTGAAGGTAGAATGCTTAGGT